CTTGGGCACACTAAAGAGTGTGCATCCAAAACCTGGTGCACCTGCCCGTACATCAGGATGCTCCCAGCTTCTATCAGACAGCAGCATCTTTGTTTTTTGCAGGGTCTTTGCCACGTCCTTTCTCAACTTTCAAGTAAACAAGAGCATGTAAAGATTTATTGCCTCGTGTCTGGCACCTGCTGAGCTTTCTATCACATGTGATAGAGAAACATTCCTTCCTCCTATCATATGTGGTTGAGAAACATTCCTTCCTCCTTGCAACTGTGATTGCCAGCAGGAATCAAGGACAGGAGCCAGGCCAGGCTCTGACCAGCAGCACCTACAGCACAGCCTGAGCCAGCTCTTGTTGTGCTTGGTGCTGCAGGAGGCCCTGCCTGCTGCAGATTCACAGCTGAGGTAGAGAAAGCAGCGAAGTGACAGCAGAGCAGCAGATCAGTGACCAGTGCTGATAGGCAGTGCCTGAGCAGTGGTCCCTGTGTCCCCAGGCAGCTGCTTCCCTGCCTGCAAACCACGCACTTCTTACACAATGGGGACACAACCACTCTCACCTGTAAGTCCCTTTTTGTCCATCTCTACAGTAAAATGTCTCATTGTTTCCTCCAGCTCACATTCCTTTTAGTGCAATAACACTAAAACACAGTTGTAACTACAGGCCCCAAGGTACAGAACCCTTCTCTGCCTGCTGCCTGCAGGGAGTTAATTCACAGCAGTTGAGAGCCCTTGCTGTACCAACAAAGGGATGTGTGATCTCCCGGTCCCTCTGCCCCCTCCCCTCCCAGCCGCTCTCCGATTTGCACCTTCCCCCAGCACAGCAGGCGGCACAGGAGCGTCTCTTCCCGCATGTGTTTGCCCACATGCACCGAACCGTAAATCAGAGTTCACCACCCCTCTCCCCCACCCCGAGCTGCTTTTCACAGCGGCTGGGTGAGTGCTACTCACCACAAACGTCTTCTCCCTGCCTGTCAGAGTGCATCACAGTGACACGCAGAGAGGACGGGCTGTGCAAATGGAGCATGAGTTATGGGCCATCAGGGGGGGAAGAGGGGGTGAACTCATGGAGCATTTCCTGGGATCGGGCCTCACATCCACGGCACCCCCAAAAGGAACATCTGGAGGAGACCTGATGAGGCGGATCTGCACTGATCCCCTGCCACACGCAGCTCCCTCCTAACGCTGTGTGACTGCACGGAGCGGATCCGAAGCCGGGGCAGGATGCGGCCCCGAGCCCGGCACAGCCACCAGCAGGCAGAGCCGAATCCATGACAACCAGAGCCTGCAAGTGAGAAGCTCAATGCCTGCCGCTCCCTGGTGAACGCGAGCGTCCCGCAGCTCGGTGCTGCGTTCTGCAGCAAGCCTTGCCCTCGCACATCTGTGCCCAAAGGAACGTCCTGCACTCCTAGAGCTCTTCTGATTTTCAAAGCTCCTAACAAGCTTTTCTGACTCCCTGTACCACAACCCCATCCCGTGCCCAAATCACCACGAGCTTTGCATTCCTCTTGTACTTCTCTGCTACGGCACATTTGTATGTCATTAATGCAGCCAGGACTTTTACTTCACCGACACCGATTGAACTGCTGAAACGAACCCCTGGGAAAAGAGAGAGAAGAAAGGCAGAGTGACTGCCACAAACGGCACAGAGGAGATGGAGGAGAGGCTTTGAATCTTCTGAAGCGGCAGCATCTCGTCACAATAGGCGATCAGAAATCATTCGGCTGGGTTTGTTCCTCCAGACAGCGATTTCCTAACAAGCAGCCATCCTGCGGGCACAGGGCCGCTGTGGGGAGCTCTGATAGCACAGCCCAGCGCCCGCCGAGGGATGGGGCTGAGCCCCCTGGGGCTCTGAGCAGCCATACTGCTGCAGGACAGGGTTAGGGTGCGATACGCCCACGGGGAGCGCGGGGTGCTTGGGTCAGAGGGATGTAGGGAAAGCCACATGCTGACAGCTGCAGGGGGCTGAGGGGGAGAGCAGCAAAACCACCACTGGTTTTGCCCTATTCCCTCCATTGCCTCAACATGGCAGCCATGCCTGCCGAGGACTGTGCCGGAGCTAGCAGCTCTCTGATTGGCTGAGCCGTGGCAGGGTGGCCACCTGAGGGCGCTGCGTGAAGCAGCTGCCAGGCTTTCCTGATTGGATGCAGCTGGGAAAAGGGGGCGGGGTCTACGATGGGAGGAGGGGTGTGGAGTGGTGGGGGCGTGGTGGGTGGAGCCAATCAGGGTGGGGCACCTTGGGGGCGAGGTCGGGAGCGGGGGCTGCAGGGCCAGATGTGTGGGGCAGCACGTGGGCAGGGAGCCATGCAGGGACGCAGCACCAGACCTCCTGCTGGCCCCGTGCAGGCACCTGCGGCTCTCTGGCCGTGCTCCGGGTCTGCCTGCGAGCCCCAGGGCCCGGCACCGAGAGCACGTCCATCAGTTCAGGCGCAGGCCAGGCGGTGTGGGCACGCTGTTGCGTTCACGTGTCTCTGCCCGTGTGCGTGGGAGGCAGGGCTGCGTCGCACAGGGAGGGGGCTGCCAAGCTACCTGCACCCGCAGCCCCCTCCCCGCGGGGAGGATGCGCTTTTCAGGCAGCTGCCTGGCTTCCTTGCGAGCCGGGAGCGCGGGAGTGTGTTGCCAAGGCAATGGGGACCATCTTACTCATCCTCCTCGCTATTGTTATCCTGCCAGCCCGGAGGTGCCCGGGTGGGGAGAGAAGGAGGAGGAGGCAGCTAGCCAGGGAGGAAGGCTGGCTGCAGGGAGGGGAGGAGATGTGTGTCCCCTCGTATCGCCATCTCATGGGGGTAGGAGATACTGATGGGTGAGGGGAGAGCAGAGTGCAGAGAAAGGGCAGGTAGGGTGTGAGCCAGCAGCCCTACGGCAAAGTCCTGGGCAGGGGAATAGAGGGATAGGGAAAGACACAGTCCTCTCCACTGCCAGGACCTGAGTCTACCCATGGTGTCTCTTGTCACTCTGTGCCCCTCTTGACCCCCTAATCCCGTGTGGCAGCGTGGGGTGTAAACTCACAGCTACGTGGGATGTAAAACCACAGCTGAACCAGGCAGGGTGCACCTCACCTCGGCCCCGCTGCAAGGGGGGGAATGGGACAGTGAGCACAGAGCTGGGATCAGCAAAGGGCACGGGGCAGAGCCCGGTGGTATGACAGCTCCTGGCCATGCAAACGTCTGGCAGCTGTGAGTGCTGCTTTTGCATCGCATGTGATGAGTGGTTGCGGTGCAACAGCCAGCACGAGGTGCTGCGTGCTCGGGGGTCCGGGAGCGGGGTCTGTGCTCTGCAGCACCGCTCGCCCACGTGTGTCACTGCTCACGCGTGTGCCACCCTGGCTTGGCGGGGTGCCTGGCGGTGGTGTAGGGGTGCCCCGGGGTTGCAAGGCTGCGCTCTTTATTTTGATATTCTTCCTCCCTATTTTTAGCATTCGGGGTTTTGTTCTAGCCTCGCTGTTTACTGGAAGGAGCATTTCTACCGCCAACCTCCCCTGTCTCCAGGCAACCAGGTGTGCCAGCTCCCACCGCGCTGGTGCCGACACCGCACCACCCTATAGATCTATAGGGTTGGGTTGGGGGGGGGGGTTAATGTTAACTTCAAGGCAGAGGAACCCTATCTCAGGGTTAACATTAACCCTCCTAGCCCCTGACTCACAGCCCCATCTGCTGCAGGGACCTGTTGCACCACCCTCTCTCCAAAGCGGTCCCAGTGGCACCCATGGGTGCTGGGCTGGATAGGAGGTGGTCAGACTGACACATGGCTGCGGGGTGCACCGTGATGGATGTTCCTCCCTCAGTCTCCATTGCCGTGGAGGGACCACCGAGCTGGACTCATGCTGACTGGGTCTTCACATGAGGTGATGCTGCCCTCCGCCACCCCACTGCACGGCGATATGTGGGGGGCTCACCGCGTGAGCCCATGCGTGGGGCAGTGCCATCTGCCAGCACGACATCCCAGCGGCAGAAAGGTGCTGGCCCTGCAGGATTGTTGGGGGGCAGGCGGGGCCTCGGGGGGGGGCTGTGAGCCCCGAGGCGATGCTCGCGGGCCGCCTTCCCCCCCGCAGCGCGAGCGGGAGTGCGTGGGAAGGAGTTAGACAAAGCCTGAGCCCGGGAGCAGAGGCAGCGCTGCCGGGAGGGAGACGGGGACGTTCTCCCCTCCCATCCTCCCCCCGAGCGAGGGCTGAGCAGAAGCCCTCCTCGTTCTCGTCCGCGGCGGCAGAAGGGACCCGCACGTCCCCGACCCTCGGGCTGGCAGCCACGGGGTGCAGCGGGCAGCGGGACAGCGCCGGTGGCCCCGCGGTGATGCCCGGCGGGGAAGCGGACATCTCCGTCACCAGGTAGGAGGGGGACGGTCTCCGTGTCGCTGTCACCCCCACTCAAGGGACGGCACCACTGGGCTCGTGCCAAGGGCCGAGGGGCCGCCGGCCACGTGTCCCCCCTAGATGCAGCATGTCCTGGGGGCGCTGGGTGGCTGCGCGGGACAAGAGCCATTCCCGCACCCGGGGGCTGTGTCGGGGTTCTAGCGGGGAGAGGATCTCACGATCGGGAGATGGGGATGGGAGTGAGGTCCCAGAGCGGTGGGGGCGATGATGCCAGATTGCCCTCCCCCCCCCCCCCCCCCCAGACAACCGGGCCCCCAACACCGGAGCGGGCGGTGCCGGGGCGGGGCGCGGACCGGGGGTACCGCTGCGGGGGGAGCGGCCTGGGGCACGGTACCGCCCCCGCCGCCGCCGCCGCCGCCCCACGCATGCTCCGCCACCGCCACCGCGCCGGAGCGGAGCGGAGCGGGACAGGACCGCGCCGGAGCCGCCGCTGCCGCCGCCGCAGCCGCAGGTAACCGCGGCCCCGGGGCGCGCACGTGGCGGGGCTCTCCCGCTCCTTCGCGGAGCCCCCGGGGCGGCGGTATCACCGGGACGGGAGCGGCCGCCGCCTCCCATCCTTCGGGGCTGCGGCGAGGGCGGCTTTGTTCGCGGCTCGGCCGGGGCGTGCCCACGCGTGTCCACGGATGCGTGTGTGCCCGGAGCCATGTGCCGGCGGCTGCGTGCCCGTGCCTGCAGGCGGGAGTGCGTGTGTGTGTGTGTGCGTGTGCCTGCGGGTGGGTACCGCATGTTCGTGTCTCTCCGCGTGCCCCGGGCGGGATGCTCTCAGGGTGGGTTCGGCCCCGCCGGGAGGTGTTACGGGTGGGACTGGGGAGCTCCGTAGGGAGAAAGGCTCGGAGGGCTGGGAATCATTTGGAGCCGCTTGTGTGACACCGGCTTCTGCCCCTCGTGCCACGTGGCCTCGTGCGGGTGTGGGTGCGGGTATCTGTGCAGGGCAAGTGTGCACGGTGCCCAGCTGGCACACCCTACCCCGCCTGGCAGAGCCCCCAGTGTCCTGTGCAGCCCCTGGCCCTTCTGCTTGCTGCTGCTTGCAGGCCAGTGGGTGCCCTGGACTGGGTACCTGTGTGCACGGCTCTGATGGGAGCTGTTCTGGGTATCTGTGAGGTTCTTACTGGGCACTACAGGTTGCCCTCCAACTGTTCTCTCTTCAGGGTCTCACAGCCCCGTGGCCCCAGCAGCCAGAGCAGCCCCTGAATCCCACACGTGGCTCAGTCACACCAGGGAACGGCTGTTTTTGTGGTAGGTGGCTGACACTGTCCTTCCCTTCCCGGGTTTGGCACTGTGCTGGCGCATTCTGGGCACAGCCAGACCTGTTGTCAGGTGTGGTGTGGCAAGAAGCAGTTGATGACTGACAATGTTCAGCTCACTGCCATATTGCCTGTCTTGCAGGACTAGCATGGGAGAAGCCTTCCCCAGGCATGGGCAGCACTAGGGAGCCCGAGGCCCTGCAGCTGCTGAACCGAGAGGCTGAGGACACCTGTGAGCCTGGTACCAGCTCCTTGGGCTGCCCACCAGTGGGTGAGCACTTGCCCAGCTCTGGCTGCAACGCGGATGGCCGTGCCATGAGGACCTGCTGCGTGGCCGAGCCCCAAGTCCTGGGCACTGTGGAGAAGGTGCCGGTGCCAACAGGACTGGGGAGCTGCGGGGCAGCCGGTGGCACTGCCCCTGCCTGCAGTCCTATGGAGCCAGGGGGCACCCAGAAGGAGAAGGCCACCCCTGCGCCCTCCCTGCCTGAGCCCTGCCTCAAGGCACCCAGCAAGGACATGGGCAGCGTGCCGGCTCCAGCCAAGCATGTGGCATTCCTGGAGCCATCGGTGGGAGCTGAGCTGCCCTCCCCGATGCCAAGCCAGGAGCAGCCCCAGGGTGGCACAGGGGACACTGAAACCCCCGAGCAGCTCCAGAGAGTTGGGGAGCAGGGCAGAGCTGATAGGAGTACTGAGAGCACCCAGCAGCCCCGGACTGCCAAGCTGCTCTGCGGGTCCTACTCATTCGAGGTGACACCCCCGCAGGACGCCGGCATGCAGGACACAGGGACACAAGTGGACAGCCGTGCATCCCTGGTGTCGGTGGCACTGAGCCCTATGAGCCCCCCGGGTGGAGCTGCTGCCTTCACCTTCCCCAAGAGAGAGCTGGGCTCTGCCCCATGCCTGCAGCCTTCCAAGAAGGACGCGGAGATGCAGGTATCCATGCCTGTGGAGACGCGCTCAGTGGCCACCGGGCCCATGACGCCAGTGGCCAAGTCCCCACAGGCCTCGTACCCCGAGGTGCACGTGAAAGGGGTGGCGGAGGAGGCTCCAGAGCCCATCCGGGAGGTGAGCTGGGACGAGAAGGGGATGACGTGGGAGGTGTATGGGGCCTCCATGGAGGTGGAGGTGCTGGGCATGGCCATCCAGAAGCACCTGGAGAAGCAGATCGAGGAGCATGGGCGGCAGGCGGTGGCCACCCCACAGAGCACCCGTGCCAGCTCCGTCAAAGGGGCTCCCCGCAAAGGCGAGCCCAAGAGGCAGCCCAGCGTCTTTCGGGCTCTGCTGCAAAACGTCCGGCGGCCACGGTGCTGCTCTCGTGCCGGCCCTGCCATGGAGTGAGCTACTGCCCAGCCGTGGGACGGAGGGGACATGGGGAAGCGTTCCTGCCCTGCGTCCTGAGACGCCCGCTGCCGGCGTGCAGCGCTCCAGGCAGGTGGTGATGGAGTGCTGCAGGTGGGGATGGGGCATCTCATCTGCTGGGGTCCCCCCCAGCCCTGGGACACGAGTTGGATGCCATCTCCCTGTGCATGGGGTGGGGGCCTGACCGTGGCTTAGAGTTGGGCTCGTGGCAGCAGCAGTGACAACAGCCCCTGGCTGCCCACCACGCTCCTGTTCTTGCTACATCGGCATCATGTCCCACTGCTGTGCCCAGCAGAAGGGTTGTGGGGCTGGAGCATGTCTGCTCGGGGCCATCAGCTGCTTGTCCCCATCACTGCAGCTGGAGGCATTTGGGGAGGTTGTCCCCATGGTCCCCAGCCCTCTCTGACTGCATTCGAAGCACGGAAAATGTCCTTGTCCTGGTGGTGGGGAAGGAGCCGCACCACCTCCCAGCCACGCTGCTGTGAGCAGCATCCAGAGCCCCCAGGCTGTCCCTTTGTGGGTCCCCCAGCCTTGCTTGCTGCTCCCCCTGGGGCTGCGCCAGCTGCAAAGTGCTGCCACTTTTTACCGCTGGGATTTTGCAGGGGTGGGAGGGAGGGGGGGGGGCTTTTCTTGAACCGTGTTTGCATTTTTGGAGCTTTTTAAGAGACACTTTCAGCCATCAGCCACCTCCCCCCCAGCAGCCTGCGGGGCTGCAGCTCTTTCAAAACACTGTCCCTATATCCCTGCCTTGCTGGGCAGCACCAAGAGCAAAGTCGATGTGCTGGGGGGTGAGCACCCCTCTGCCAGCAGTACCTCGGTGTCAGTGCCAAGCTATCAGACCCCACATCTCGCCTCCTGCTCCCCCCCACCAGTCTGACTCAGTGCACAGGAGTGGCCCCCCAGAGCCCCAGGAACACCTGAGCTGCAGGAGGCTGCAAAAATTGGGGTGCTGGGGATCCCCTGGCCTGCCAGTCCACTCCAGTGCTCTGGCTTCATCCCCGACTTTCTTGTTTTCCTCTTTGTTTTTTTGGGAGTGGGGGGAGGAAGGGGGTGGGAGAACTACATTTGTCAGTTTGGGTGTTGGGTAATAAAACATTACAGAAAGCTCTGTGCAGTGCTGCAAGCAGCTCTTGGTGGGGATGTGTGGGGTGGCACAGAGCCCTGTGGTGACACCGAACCCTTCCAGCCTGACCTCAATCCACCCCTTTCTTCTGGGAGAGGGGACCCCCTGGGGCCAGCACCGAGGGGCTGGTGGCCATGGGACACTGTCATCACATGAGATGGGTTTATTGCTGGGGTTGAACACGACATTGTCAGAGCAGCTGCCTGAGTCCCGCTCCGGCCCCTCTGTGCTGCACATGCTGCTCACAGGTCGGTGGTGTTGAAGGCAGTGTTGATGTAGGCCATTTTGGAGGGCTCCTCCATGTTCAGGGCGGCTGCCAGCACCTTGTCCTCAGTGGAGTCTGTGGGATGTGGGTTCCCTCTCTGGGAGAGAGCACAGTCATAAGGGTGGGGACAGGGATACCCCATCCATCCCCAGAACAGGGATGGGGAGAAAGGGATGCGAGGGTCCAGCAGTCCTTGCGCCGCAGCAGAATGGGGCTGGGCGGAGGTGAGCAGGATGCCCTGCCTCCTACCTTGGCCTTGAAGTTGTCCTCCTTGGGTGAGTTCACCATGTTTTCATCCAGGGAATTGATGCTGCAGAAAGGGGAGGGTTTAAGAGGTGGTGGCAAGGCACAGGCAAGGCCAATGGCCTTTGGACCTGCCTGTAGAGCTCACCTGGCCAGCGAGCTGGTTTCTTCATGGAAGCCCAGGTCATGGGATGGGTCCAGCGAGAGATTCAGCATGGGGTTGGCCCTGGCCAAGGGTGGGAGGCAGTGAGTGACGGACCCTGTGGGGTCAGCCGTGTGGGAGCAACATGGGGACAGGCACAGGGAGCCCATGCTCACCTCTCAGCATTGTACTTGTTGGTGCCAGGGATGCCCTCTCCCTGCACCACAGCTGGACTCAGCGTTGTGGCTGTCTTGAGAGCCTTCATCGCACTCAGCTTCCTCTTGTAGCTGTGGGGATGGTGATGGTGAGTGGGGATGTGGGGACAAGGGGTATGTGGGGACACGGGGTGGGTGCATGGTACCTCCTGGTGGTCAGCACCAAGGCCAGGATCATGATGAGGATGAAGAGGACTAGGAACGCTGCCAGCCCCGCGATGACGCCGATCATCTCCTTCTCCTTGCTGCTCTCTGTCACCTCACCGGGGCCCTAGCACACAGTGGGGCTGTGGGCAATGTGTAGGCACGAAGACCCCCAAGGAACCACGTGGGGCTGGTGCCTTGTCCCTGCACGCCTTGCCCTCCCCCACTCACGATGACGACCAGGCCCAGGTTCATCAGGTTGGCCAGGGCCGTTGGGTTGCTATTGATGAGCCTGCCGAAGGAAGAGAAGCAGGATGAGTAATGGGGTGGGCAGCAGTGCTGGCACACAGCTCCCTCACCAGTACACACAGGGTCAGCTGGTTGACGTCCAGTGCTGTGCCATTGCTGTAGACGAAGTACGCCTCTATCACCGACTTGGCTTTCACCCTGCAGGGACAGGAGGGGGGGGTGAGCAGGCTGTGGGGCATGGTGCCCTCCCCATGGCCGATGCCATCACTCACGTAGTGGTACGGCTGTCTTCATAGGTCCGGATGGCTGACACGTAGACCCCTGCCTTAGTGGCGCTGGTCAGGGCTCTGCAATGGGGTTATGGGTGAGTGTGTCTATGGGGAGCAGCAGGACCTGCAGCCCCAGCCCCTGCCAGGCCCCCATACATTCTGATGCTTTCCAAATTGCTCTGCACTTCATCCACTGTTGTCGTAAATTGGAGGTGAATGCGATAGCTCTGGTCCACTGTGAAGATCTGTGTGGGGACAGCAAAGTGAGAGGGGCTCAGGAGGGCATGGGGCATCCCAAGGGGATGGGGTGACACTCACATTGAGGGTAGTCTGTGTCGCATGCTGTGGTGCTGCACTGTCCCGAGCCTCCACTGTCACCTGGTACTGCCCCTTCAGTGAACTGTCCAGGTTGCTGGCCACCCTAAGGGGATGGGGACATCCCATATGGCTGGGTCTTCCAAGAAACCCATCCTCCCAGCACGCTCAGGCCCCTTTGATGGGGACCAAGGAGCTGGGGATGTCCTCCCTCCATCCCTTGCCTGTGCCCCTGCCATGCGGCAGAAGAGCTGAGCTGGGCTCAGCCCACACCACACAACCCCCAGCTCAGCCTGGCCCCATGGCATTACTGAATGCTCCCGGTGTAGTTGTCCTGGTCAGCCGAGGTCACCACCTTGAAGAGGTTATCAAAGGGCCGCTTGTCCCCATCTTCTTGCACAAGCACCACGCTGATGATGGAGAAAACGATGGTTCCTCCCAGCCCCGAGTCGGCATCCGTGGCCTGCGGGGACCAAGTATGTCAGCAGCACAGCTGGGCACGGATGGGCGAGCCCAGCACCCAGAAGTGTGCACTGCTCCTCACCTTCACAGTAGCCACTTGCAGGTCCACAGGAGAGATTTCAGGGACAATGACTGTGGGGACAGACAGTACAGTTGGGGTGCTTTGCAGCTAAGTATGCTGCAGACCCCATGCCCTGCATGCCCCATGGCTCAGTAGCACAGGTGCAGCCCTAAGCACCTCATGTTGCTCTTTGTGGGGAGCAGCGGGTTGTCCCAGCTTGGACACCGTGCTGCTCACAGCCCTCTGGTTCCTGGGCAGCTGGGCAGAGCTACACAGCAAAGAGCACATCATGAATGCTGTATCCTAAGCTCTCCTACTCACCAAAGGTCCCGGAGACAGGAAAGAAGATCGGTGCATTGTCGTTAATGTCTGTGATCCAGATCTCCAGGGTTTCTGTCAAAGCCACAAACACAGAGCACTGGTCAGTCCTGCTCTGTGTCCTCTGGGAGCCACATTCCCCCAGAAGGCCCAGATCCCTGCGGCAGAGACCAAAGAACTGGGGACACCTTCCTGCCAACCCAAAGGGACCAAAGAGCTGGGGACAGCCTCCATCTATCCCAAAGAGGCGCTCCTCTGGGGAAGCAGCAGCTCCAGGTCCCATCTTCCTCCCTGCCCTGCTCATGGTGGACACAGGACGTGGGCTCTGCCTGTACCGTTCTTGCTGTAGCGGTCGCCTTTCTCGGTGTAGAGGTCTTCAACCCGTATGGTCAGCTGGACCTCATCACACAGCTCGTAGTCAATGTCCAAGCTGTCGGCCAGCAGCGAGCCATTGGGCAGCAGCACAAACCAGTCCCAGCACACCTCCCCAGCACTGCTGCCACCCTTATAGCAGGCAACCGACAGCTCCTCGAAGACCAGTGAGTGGTTGGTGTCTGGGTCAAAGGCAACCACGGTGAGGACCAGACCCAGCTGCGTGCCGTTCTCGCTCACGCTCACACTCTTCTGCGAGGACGACGGGATGGTGGGCGGCTCATCATTGACATCGAGGACGTTGACCAGCACCGAGACGTTGGCGATGTTCCCTGCATCGTTTGCAGCCGTGTTCTCCGCCAGCACCACCAAGGAGAAGAACTTATCCTGCATGGTGTCATAGTCCACAGTTACGTCAGGGTCGAGGGAGAGCCGCCCGCTGTAGTTGCCCAGCCCCAGGCGGGTCGAGCTGATCAAGAAGTTGCTGGAGCCGGTGTTCCTCTCCAGCTGGAAGGAGATGCGGGAGTTGATCTCCGTCCGGTCAGCATCCGTGGCCATGACGTTCCCCACGAAGGACCCTGCAGGTGAGGCAGACACTTGGTGTCTGTTTGTCTGACCCCAGGCACTGTTTATCCCACAGCCTGAACACCCTCCTCATACCGTCAGAGCTTTCAAAGACGGAGAACTCATAGGACTGTTGGAGGAACACGGGCATGTTGTCATTCACATCCTGCAGGAGATGATAGCCCGTGAGTGTCACCAGGCTAGAGGTCTGGCATGGAGCAAGGGACAGGAGCACGGACAGCTGCTCCCTGCTCCAACTGTGGCACGTGGGGACACAGTGCCACCTCTACATCCGGTCTGACTGTGCCCAGTGCTCACCGCCACGGTGATGGTGACGTTCACCATCGTGCTGAGCTGTGGCACCCCGTGGTCGTACACCTCCACTGTCACCACCAGCTGCCCGTCCTCACTGTCCACAGCCTCACGGTCCAGTGGCTCAATGCTGTACATCTCTCCAGAGGTCTGGTTGATGGTGAAGTTGTTGCTGTACAGCCCTGGCACAATTTTGAAGCCCAGCTCACTGTTGGGAGTGTCTTCCTCATCATTGTCAAAGGCCTGGAAAGAGAACATCAGGAAAAAGGAATGGAGTTGTTTGGAGCCC